CTGTGTGTGTCTGTGGGTCTCTGTGTGAGTCTGTGGGTCTCTCTGTCTGTCTGTGGGTCTCTGTGCCTTGTCTGTGGGTCTCTGTGCATTGTCTGTGGGTCTGTGTGTGTGTATGTGGGTCTCTGTGTGTGTCTGTGGGTCTCTCTGTGTGTCTGTGGGTCTGTGTGTGTGTCTGTATGTCTCTGTGTGTGTCTGTGGGTCTCTGTGCATGTCTGTGGGTCTCTGTGTGTGTCTGTGGGTCACTGTGTGTGTCTGTGAGTCTCTATGTGTGTCTGCAGGTCTCTATGTGTATCTCTGGGTCTTTGTGTGTGTCTGTGGGTCTCTGTGTGTGTCTCTGGGTCTCTGTACGTGTCTTTGGGTCTCTGTGTGTGTCTGTGGGTCTCTGTGTGTGTCTGTGGGTCTCTGTGTGTGTCTGTGGGTCTCTGTGTGTGTCTGTAGGTCTTTGTGTGTGTCTGTGGGTCTCTACACGTGTCTTTGGGTCTCTGTGTGTGTCTGTAGGTATTTGTGTGTGTCTGTGGGTCTCTATGCGTGTCTGTGGGTCTCTGCGTGTGTCTGTGGGTCTCTGTGTGTGTCTGTCGGTCTCTGTGTGTGTCTGTGAGTCTCTGTGTGTGTCTTCGGGTCTATGTGTGTGTCTGTGGGTCTCTGTGAGTCTGTGGGTCTCTCTGTGTGTCTGTGGGTCTCTGTGCCTTGTCTGTGGGTCTCTGTGCATTGTATGTGGGTCTGTGTGTGTATGTGGGTCTCTGTGTGTGTCTGTGGGTCTCTCTGTGTGTCTGTGGGTCTATGTGTGTGTCTGTATGTCTCTGTGTGTGTCTGTGGGTCCCTGCGTGTTTCTGTGGGTATCTGTGTGTGTCTGGGTCCCTGTGTGTGTCTGTGGGTCTCTGTGTGCCTGTGGGTCTCTGTGTGTGTCTGTATGTCTCTGTGTGTGTCTGTATGTCTCTGTGTTTGTCTGTGGGTCCCTGTGTGTGTCTGTTGGTCTCTGTGTGTGCCTGTGGGTCTCTGTGTGTGTATGTCGGTCTCTGTGTGTGTCTGTGAGTCTCTGTGTGTGTCTGTGGGTCTATGTGTGTGTCTGTGGGTCTCTGTGTGAGTCTGTGGGTCTCTCTGTGTGTCTGTGGGTCTCTGTGCCTTGTCTGTGGGTCTCTTTGCAATGTCTGTGGGTCTGTGTGTGTGTATGTGGGTCTCTGTGTGTGTCTGTTGGTCTCTTTGTGTGTCTGTGGGTCTCTGTGTGTGTCTGTATGTCTCTGTGTGTGTCTGTATGTCTCTGTGTGTGTCTGTGGGTTCCTGTGTGTTTCTGTGGGTATCTGTGTGTGTCTGTGGGTTCCTGTGTGTGTCTGTGGGTCTCTGTGTGTGCCTGTGGGTCTCTGTGTGTGTCTGTGGGTCCCTGTGTGTGTCTTTGGGTCTCTGTGTTTGTCTGTGGGTCTCTGTGTGTGTCTGTGGGTCCCTGTGTGTGTCTTTGGGTCTCTGTGTGTGTCTGTGGGCCCTGTGTGTGTCTGTGGGTCTCTGTGTGTGTCTGTGAGTCTCTGTGTGTATCTGTGGGTCTCTGTGTGTGTCTGTGGGTCTATGTGTGTGCCTGTGGGTCTCTCTGTTAGTCTAGGGGGTCTTATCGGTGAGTGAAATAAGTATATAAATACAACCTAATCCTTCATTGCTTCAGGCTCCTTCCCACCACTCCCTAAGAGGCACATTTTGTACTTGTCGCTGGTAATTTTAATTAACGAGATCAAAACGTCTATTTTGGTCGGTTCGATGCCGAGCATCAAATCAAACTCTCTCTCTCTCTCTCCTCTTTACATCACCACGTGGAGACAGCGGCGTGCCTACATCTTGTTACACGATGTTTTCCGCCTCGCCCTGGTATACAGGAGGTTCGTGGGTTCGATCCCGACCCCTGTCGCCTCCTGTATATTTGACGTGCGCGTGTTTTCTCTCTCTCTCTCTCCTGTGGTCGAGTGGATTTTTCTCCGGGCCATGCGGTTTTCCCCTCCACGTTTAGAATCGACGTCAGCGCATTCAGAGTATTTGGCTGCTGTCTGTAAATGTCCACTTGATCCACTGCGCTTAGCTATGTTTGATTAGCTGGGTCACTTATGAATAAGGGCAGTCCAGGCACTGCTCTACTTGCGTACGAGTTAGGTTGCAGAGGTCTGTTCGTAAATTTTCTCCTGTCGATTGGAAGCATGTCGCGTGGCATATGCACTAAACACGGGGGAATGGCTTTAAAAGTTGTATAATCTCCTGTAGATGTATATGCCACTGGTTCTTCACGTTCTGCAGATGTAGATGTCCCTGGTTCTTCACGTTGTGTAGATGAAAATTTCCACTAGTTCTTCACGTTCTGCAGATGTAGATGCCACTGGTTCTTCACGTTCTGCAGATGTAGATGCTACTGGTTCTTCACATTCTGCAGATGTAGATGCCACTGGTTCTTCACGTTCTGCAGATGTAGATGCCACTGGTTCTTCACGTTCTGCAGATGTAGATGCCACTGGTTCTTCACGTTCTGCAGATGTAGATGCTACTGGTTCTTCACGTTCTGCAGATGTAGATGCCACTGGTTCTTCACGTTCTGCAGATGGAGATGCCACTGGTTCTTCACGTTCCACATATGTAGATGCCACTGGTTCTTCACGTTTTGCAGATGTAGATTCCACTGGTTCTTCACGTTCTGCAGATGTAGATGCCACTGGTTCTTCACGTTCTGCAGATGATACCACTGGTTCTTCACGTTCTGCAGATGTAGATGCCACTGGTTCTTCACGTTCTGCAGATATAGATGCCACTGGTTCTTCACGTTCTGCAGATGTAGATGCCACTGGTTCTTCACGTTCTGCAGATGTAGATGCCACTGGTTCTTCACGTTCTGCAGATGTAGATGCCACTGGTTCTTCACGTTCTGCAGATGTAAATGCCACTGGTTCTTCACGTTCCGCAGATGTAGATGCCACTGGTTCTTCACGTTTTGCAGATGTAGATGCCACTGGTTCTTCACGTTCCGCAGATGTAGATGCCACTGGTTCTTCACGTTCTGCAGATGATACCACTGGTTCTTCACGTTCTGCAGATGTAGATGCCACTGGTTCTTCACGTTCTGCAGATATAGATGCCACTGGTTCTTCACGTTCTGCAGATGTAGATGCCACTGGTTCTTCACGTTCTGCAGATGTAGATGCCACTGGTTCTTCACGTTCTGCAGATGTAGATGCCACTGGTTCTTCACGTTCTGCAGATGTAGATGTCACTGGTTCTTCACGTTCTGCAGATGTAGATGCCACTGGTTCTTCACGTTTTGCAGATATAGATGCCACTGGTTCTTCACGTTCTGCAGATGTAGATGCCACTGGTTCTTCACGTTCCGCAGATGTAGATGCCACTGGTTCTTCACGTTTTGCAGATGTAGATGCCACTGGTTCTTCAGGTTCCGCAGATGTAGATGCCACTGGTTCTTCACGTTCTGCAGATGATACCACTGGTTCTTCACGTTCTGCAGATGTAGATGCCACTGGTTCTTCACGTTCTGCAGATATAGATGCCATTGGTTCTTCACGTTCTGCAGATGTAGATGCCACTGGTTCTTCACGTTCTGCAGATGTAGATGCCACTGGTTCTTCACGTTCTGCAGATGTAGATGCCACTGGTTCTTCACGTTCTGCAGATATAGATGTCACTGGTTCTTCACGTTCTGCAGATGTAGATGCCACTGGTTCTTCACGTTTTGCAGATATAGATGCCACTGGTTCTTCACGTTCTGCAGATGTAGATGCCACTGGTTCTTCACGTTCTGCAGATGTAGATGCCACTGGTTCTTCACGTTCTGCAGATGTAGATGCCACTGGTTCTTCACGTTCTGCAGATATAGATGCCACTGGTTCTTCACGTTCTGCAGATGTAGATGCCACTGGTTCTTCACGTTCTGCAGATATAGATGCCACTGGTTCTTCACGTTCTGCAGATGTAGATGCCACTGGTTCTTCACGTTCTGCAGATGTAGATGCCACTGGTTCTTCACGTTCTGTAGATGTGGATGCCACCACCGATATCTCTTGTGCGGCGGTTAAACTTGCGACTTTTGGTTCGAACAGGCAACTGGACATACGGACAGGCTTGTTCGTAACTCTGAAAGTTCGTATGTCGAATGTTCGTAAGTAGAGGAGTCCCTGTACAGCTCAGTGGGCCTTACCCGGTAAAATAAAGAATCGTTCAGTTTTAGTTTCCATCTGCTGCTGCTGCTCCTGTTGCCCCATCGCGAGCGATTAATTATCTGTAACGGCTCGTCGTTACGTAACGCTATGGGGGGGCTTAAGTCACGCGTGGGCTCCGCCCGTGTGAGCTGATCGTGAGCTTCCGTCAGTTGCCCGAGATCAAGATCACCCCGTGTCGCCTTCCTCAGGCTGCTGGGGCAAGTGTTGGTTAGCGAGCAGCAGCGCCTATGAAGGCCCGGCACGGTGGCACACGAGGGGGTGGGCGGCCGACACCGTGCCCGGCTGCGATTTGTCTCCCCACTGGCGATGTTTTAAACACGCTGCACCAGGTACTCATTTGAGGCCGAGTCGACCTAGGGGCAGGCCCAGGGACCGGTTCGGGATAATCGTCACAGGTGTTGGTGGCCGTGAGCGGGAACCGAACTCGGGCCGCCGGGGTGCGGGGGGGGGGGGGGGGGGGGTTTCGTGGCGCGGCGCGCTGACCGCCTGCGTCTGCACCCTCCACTCGCACGGTCGGCCTGTAACAAACAGCACAGGCACATCCGCCTCGCTTAACGAGCGAGATACGTTCCGAGAAAACGTCGCTCGGTAGGCGAAAAAACTCGGCGAGCGATGGTCTTTTTTTTTTTCCCATTGACGCACCGTTGTTAAAAGCTGCGCGTCGTTTCGGCTACCAGAAATGTTTCGCATCGATCCCGTTGGCAAGCGATGAGCGGATCGCGCGATCCCATTGGTTAGTAGAGCGTCGTGTGGCTAATGTCTGCGCGATTCGTTTCTCCCCCCCCCCCCCCTCCGTAACACGCGTGCAGGATACGGATCGAGGAGGAATACGCCAAGAATTTGTCCAAGATGTCACAGAGCCCCCTCGCGCTGCAGGAGGAAGGGTAAGGATACCCCCAACCAACCACCACCACCAGGGCCTTCAACACCCCTGCACCATCGCCTCCTTCCCCTGCTGCCACATCTCATTCCTTTTCCAAACCCGATTAACTAGCGGCCGTACTACCGCGCCCCCCACCCTTCACGTATTTTTGCCGTTTTGCACAGTGGTCGGTAAGCAATGTCAGGCGCCTAGGCGAAGGGCGCCTTTACAAATGCGGCAGAGACTGGAATAGGGCCCCGTCCGGAGTGGGGAGTGCGGTAAGACCGGGGACAAACCACGCCATGTAGGCCCCCCCCCCCCCCCCCCGATACCTTCTAACTGACGCCGTGACGTCGAACCACGGGGGGGGGGCCCCCCCGAAGCACGGGGCCTGGGGCGGTCTACCTGAATCGTCGTAAACCTAGTGACGGCTCTGCTCACCACGACCACCATCGCCCTATGAGTTTTATTGTTACGATTATCACTCCGCTTGTTTACACAGGAAATGCTCGCTGAGTCTTGAGCCTCTGGTGAGCGCCACGGTGGCGGCAAGATGTTAACTACCTCGCCTGGTATACAGGAGGTCGTGGGTTCGATCCCGACCCTGACTGCTGTACATTTGGAGTTTGCGTCTCTCTTTCTCTCTCTCTGTCTCTCCCCGTGGCCTCGTAAAATTTGTTCCGGGTCCTCCGGTTTTCCCCTCCACATTTAGAATAAGCCTGCTTTCAGAGTTATTTGGCCACTATACATGTTCACGTGATGATAATCCACTTGGTTGAGCTATCATTCGTGGCCAGGTCGCTTCTGAAAAAGAGCTACATAGCTCAGTGGGTCTTACCTTGTAAAGTAAATTAAATTTTGTTTCATATGGCAGGCTTTTGCCAAGTTTTCGCAGCAGGGAGCGATCCCAATTGAGTAGAATTTGCAGCATTGGGTTTGTTCTTGGCCAATGCCGGCTCCGTTGTTTTGACTTTATCGATGGGAAGGAAAAACGGAGAACGTGGAGGAAACCCACGCAGAACAGGGGGAGAGAGAATCTGAATCGGAAATCTTTATTCATCCTGGAGGAATCCAATGGGCTGTGAAGCTCTTCTTCACAGACGTCCGAACTCCACGCGGAAAGCCGCCTGACTCGGCAATCAAACCCCGGGACGGCCAAATGAGACGGAACGTAGGGGGATGGTCAGTAGACCAATGAGACAAAACCGAACGAGGTAGCACGCACGACAACAAACGGGCAATACAAATGAGACGTAATGGTATGAACACAAGGCGGGTGCGGATGAGGAGGACCGCACCGAGGACACGGCTTACAACAGGTGGACAATACGACCGAGACGGAGATAATGAATTGGACAGAACCAACCAGGTAGACAGGATAAACGAGGGGGCGAGGTGCTGGCCACCCACCCTCTCGCCTGGCATGCAGGAGGGTCGTGGGTTCGATCCCAACCCTTGACGCCTGCTGTATTTTTGGAGTTTTCCGTGTCTCTCTCCCCGTGGTCGCGTGGATTTTTTCCCGGCTCCTCCGGTTGTTTCCCTCCACGTTTAGGATGGACGTCGCGCGTTTAGAGTATTCGGCTGCTGTAAATTCCCGCACGATGAGCCACTTCGTTGAGCTGTCATTTGTGTTAGCCCAGGTCGTTCGTGCCAAAGAGCTACGTAGCTCAGTGGGGCCTTACCTGGTGAAATAAAAAAACAACAACAATAGATTCACGAGAGATGTGCAGTAGGAAAGGGGTGCTGGAGTAGGCACAGACGGGGTGGACTAGACCAGTGCTCTTCATTAAGAGGCCACTGGCGGGCTCCCGGTGACCTTTAGTGCGGCCCCCCCTGACAAATACTTAAACTTGTGACAACACCTCCCCCCATCATCGTCATCGTGCTGCTGTGACAAACCCCCCAATTGTTTCAAATGTGTGGCGGCCTCCTCCTCGCACTGCTGCTCGCTAACAGCACTTGTCCCAAGTCGCAGCCCTATTGCGTTCAGGAGACAGAACCACGGAGCATGCTGCACTCCAGCCTCCCGGATTGTAGCTCCAGGGTGGCGGCACAGCAACGAGAGGCCTGGGTTTAAGGCCGGAGCCTTGGAGTCAGGGGCGGAGCCAGGGGGGGTGACAGGGGTGACATTCTGCGTATAAGTGTACGACACTCGGTCTGGCGGACTCCGTGCAACTGCATTGTCAGAGTGTGTCGCCAACCGATGGCGTCTAGTTCAACAGCCTGACTCTCTAATCATTCTTGAATTTAAAATTTGTTGAATGTCACCCCGGGCTGAAAATCCTGGCTCCGCCCCTGCTTGGAGTCAACATTGAGGGGGACCAAATCTTCCAGAAAAAAAAATCTAAATTTGAAAACGAATTTCCTGCCATTTCCTGCCTAAAATATAAAAAAAAATTCACTAACACATAGGATGGGCTTTATTTATTGATTTATTTATTTATTGCAGTAATGTCTCATAGTGTATTGTATTAATTGCTCTGTTTCTTCTTTTTTTTCTTTTCTTCTTTCATTGTATGTAATGGCAGAGATTAAGGATGAATACATTTTACAACCGTAACCACAATCATATAAACAGAAATCTAATTTATAGCAATATATTGGCGGGGACATTTGGAGCATATTTGAATAATGGGGGGGATGTCCCTCCCCCAATATATATTATAATTACGGCCTTGCCTGGGTTCAACTCCCGACTGGGGCGCGTTTCCGCGTGCATTCTCTTAATTCGCCCCCCCCCCCCCCCCCCCCTTTAACTAAACATTTGTTTTTTTATTTTACGATGTAAGGCCCCACTGAGCTACGCAGCCCTTTTTTAGAAGTGACGTGGCTGCCACAAGTGATGGCTCAACCAAGCGGGCTCATCACCATCGCGTGGAAATTGATCGCGGCCAAATAACTCTGAACGCACGCCGATTCTAAATGCGGGGGGAATGGGAAAAACTAGAGGGCACGGATATAGATCCACGCGACCACGGGGAGAGATCGATAGAGACACCGCGAACTCCAAACATACAGCAGCAGGTGTCTTCGGGGTCAGGATCGAACCCGCGACCTCCTGCATACCAGGCGAGGTCGTTAACGTCTCAAAGCCACCGCGGCTCTCGCTCCCCCGCGTCTGTGGCAGCAGCTGGGCGGCTTGAGCCACGGCCGAGGCCCAAGCCGAGCGGCGACTCTGACTAACGGCGATCTCCGCGGTCCCCTCTTGTGCGTGCAGGACCCTGGGGGAGGCGTGGTCCCAGCTCAAGAAGAGTTTGGCTGACGAGGCGGAGGTCCATCTCAAGTTTGCCGCCAAGGTTTGTTGTTGTTGTTGTTGCTTTGTAGTCACGTGACCATGCGTTCAGTGGAGGTGGTCGGGGGGGGGGGGGGGCGGGGTTCGGGGGGGGGGGGTGGTGTGGTCAGGGGGGTGCCCAGTTTGTTTGATTTAATTAGCGGCAGCAGTAGCAGCCATGGTCTATCCACTGCGGGATGAAGGCCTCCCCAAGTCAGGGCCATCTCGCTCACGTACCCCGTGGTGTGACAATGCACTGAGCACCTGCTGCACGCCGGCCGATGAGTACCCGATGCGGCGTGTGGTAAACGCCGCCACCGGGCGGTTGGGGCGTGGTGCCAGCCACCCACGCACCACCTCGTGTGCCACCGTGCCGGCCTTCGTAGGTGCCGCTACTCGCTAACCAACACTTGCCCCAGCAGCCTGGTGAAGGCTACACGGGGTGATCTTGATCTCGGGCCACTGGCGGAAGCTCGCACGGGCGGAGCCCACGCGTGACTAAGCCCCCCACAGCGTTACGTAACGACGAGCAGTTACAAATAATCGCCCACGCCCTCGCGATGGGGCAACAGCAGCAGCAGGTGTAAACTAAAACTAAACAATTTTTGTTAGATTATTTTAGCAGGTAAAGCCCTCCTGAGCTGCTGTGTAGCTCTTTGTCAGAAGCGACCCGGCCATCACAAATGACAGCTCAACGAAGTGGCTTATCATCATCATCATCATCACGTGGAAATGTATAGCGGCCAAATACTCTAAACGCACGTGGATTCTAAACGTGGAGGGAAAAACCGGAGGACTCTGAGAAAAATCCACGCGACCATCACGGGGAGAGAGAGCGAGAGAGTCACGCAAACTCCAAACGTACAGCAGGCGTCAGGCTCGTGCTCGAGCCCACGACCTCCTGCATACCAGGCGAGGTAGTCAACATCTCCTAGCCACCGTGATGAAGATGAGAGAGAGAGAGACACGCAAACTCCAAATTGACAGCAGGCATCTTCAGGGTCGGGATCGAACCCACGGCCTCCTGTATACCGGGGCGAGGTAGTTAACATCTCCTAGCCACCGTGATGAAGATGAGAGAGAGAGAGACACGCAAACTCCAAATTGACAGCAGGCATCTTCAGGGTCGGGATCGAACCCACGGCCTCCTGTATACCGGGGCGAGGTAGTTAACATCTCCTAGCCACCGTGATGAAGATGAGAGAGAGAGAGACACGCAAACTCCAAATTGACAGCAGGCATCTTCAGGGTCGGGATCGAACCCACGGCCTCCTGCACACCAGGCGAGGTAGTTAACATCTCCTAGCCACCGTGATGAAGATGAGGGAGAGAGAGACACGCAAACTCCAAATTGACAGCAGGCATCTTCAGGGTCGGGATCGAACCCACGGCCTCCTGTATACCGGGGCGAGGTAGTTAACATCTCCTAGCCACCGTGATGAAGATGAGGGAGAGAGAGACACGCAAACTCCAAATTGACAGCAGGCATCTTCAGGGTCGGGATCGAACCCACGGCCTCCTGCACACCAGGTGAGGTAGTTAACATCTCACCACGGAGAGAGAGACACGCAAACTTCAGGCGTCAGGGTTGGGGTCGTGCTCGAGCCCACGACCTCCTGCGAACCCAAGCGAGGTAGTGAACATCTCCTAGCCACCGCGAACGTTTCCCGCACTCCGGACCGCCGTGTCAATGAATGACCAGAGCAGGCAGGCGGAGCGTGGGAAGCTGCGGCCACCGCTGGGCTTTTTCTCATGGAAACGGGGGGGCCTTGATCTGACGTTGTGGTCTCAGCGGGCGCCAAATGTTCCCATGGGGGCGTTCATTACAAAGACGATTGAGTGGCAACGATTGAGTGGCTCCTCCTTTTGCAGCGCTGCTCAGAGGTCAAGAGGCTTCAAACCCGGGCTGCGGTCGCCCGTGCCGTGCGTTATTTAGAGTTGTTTGGCTGCTGCTGTCAATTTCCACGCGGTGTTGATGATGAGCCACTTCGTTGAGCATTTGTGATGGCCGGAGTCGCTTCTGAAAAAGAGTTACGTAGCTCAGTGATGGGGGCCTCACCTGGTAAAATAAATAAATTGTTTATAGTTGTACAGTGTAGTGACTCAGCCATTTGAAGAGAAGTACAGCCGGCAGCCGTGGATCTTTCCGCCGTCAATATCCAACAAACAAACAAAAAAATCTAATTAAACGTGTGCACATTCACCACCACGTGCTTGGCTGAACCCCCACCACCAGGTGCGACTTAGCGGCCGAGCGACCTGGCCACTTAATTTTCTAAGTGCAGCGGCGACTTAGAAATCCTCGAAAGCGTTTTCCCGCTAAACTCTTGCCGCTCGGCGAACGCGTCCTGCCGGCACGGCTACGCCGTAACCGAGACCCGGGCGCGTGGGTGGAGGCGCCCCCCAGGCTTTGCTCGTCGCGAGCTGCGCCTGATGTACTCACCACGACGCTTGTGCCAGGCTATGTGCACCCTGAGGCCACGTGAAGTGTCGATCCACACACACCCACAGACACCCACACACATACACCTACCCACACACCCACACACACAGACACACCCACCCACACACCCACACACAGAGAAAAAGACAAAGATCCCCCATATAGCCTTAACAGACTGTAGGGGCAAGTGCGGCCCGGCAGACGTAGTTTAGCGTCGTGTTTTACGGCCGCCCTTCACTCCTTCCTGCATTAATTCGTCATGCGCACTCAGCGAAGGGGTCCGCACCCGCGTGCCAAACGTGCGACCCCTTGCGACAGCGTTCGCTTCGGTCGATCCACGGATCGCGGTGGGGTGGGGAGGAGGAGGGTGGGGGGGCAGTCACGGAGCGGGCTGCCCCATGCCTTTGAGGGCGGTCGCAGTCCTCGATTTGGGAACGTCGACCGCCAACCGAAATGACTGCGGTTCACTGCAGGGGTCTGCTGCAGGAATTTGGCTCAGCAGTGGAGATGCGGGATGGGGGGGAGGGGCTTAGTGGGGACAGGGTGGGGGGGGGCGACGTCGTCCTCCGACCTGAAGACGTACCGATAAAATGACTTTATTTTTGCGATGACGTGCGTGCGTGCGTGCGCGTCCTTGGGATTGGGAAAGGGTTAATCGTGGGCGAGCGGCTGGAGACCTGGACTTGAGCGCCGGCTCGCGGCGCTGCCGTCTCAGCGTCTCTGACCCCCTTGGCTCCGCCCACCCTGGCATCTCGCCCCTCCCCCTCCCCTCCTGCAGCTGCACACGGAAGTGGAGAAGCCGCTGCTGAGCTACCGAGAGAACCTCAAGAAGGAGCTCAAAAAGTTCGAGCACCACATATCGGAGCATCGCAAGCAGCTGCTGGGGCGGCTCGTCAACGTGGACAAGGTGAGGCCTTTGGGGCCGCGTCCCGGCCCCAAAGGCCGCCACGCCGGTTAACGCCGCGGGGGTGGCGTGGGTGGGGCGGCGTATTCACGGTGGACGTCGGATCATACGGCGGTGTTAGCCGGCGGTTGACGCAACGGCCTAACCGGTGGGGCAAAGCCGCTTAGCTACGTCGCCCCCCTCGCTCAGCAGTGGGGATGGTGGGGGGGGGGCGGGGCTCAGCAGTGGGGGGAGGGGTGTGACCAGCACCCCCTCCACGTGGCTTCGACAAGCGACCTCCTCCTCCTCCGATTGTCCAGGCCAAGAAGGTCCTGGCGGAGCGGCAGCGTGACCTGGAGGTGAAGTCGCAGCAGCTGGAGATCAAGCCCACGAACAAGACGGAGGAGGACATCAAGAAGGCGCGACGCAAGTCCACCCAGGCTGGTACGGCGACGGTGGGGGGAGGTGGGGGTGGGGTGAAACGGCGCCTGATATCAAACACCCGTGCCGAGATCCTGTGCGCTAGACAAAGATCCCCCGTGTAGCCTTAACAGGCTGTAGGGGCGAGTGCCGTTAGCGAGCACCTATGAAGGCCGGCACGGCACACGAGGGGGGGGGGGGGTGGGTGGCCAGCACAACGCCCGGCCGCCTTTGTCTTCCCCGTGGCGATGTTATTCTCACATCGTGCCAGGTGCTCATTTGAGGCTGGGTCGAACCGGGGGGGTGGCCCATGACCGGTTCAGATAATCGTCACCTGGTGTTGGTGGCCGGGAGCGGGAATCGAACTCGGGTCCCGCCGGGTTCGTAGCGCGGCGGCGCTGAGGCGCTATCGATGCGTACACAAGCACGTGCATTGCGCTCTGTTGCTCTTCATTTGCTAGAAATACACTTGTCGGGTCAATCGTGTGTGCAACGCGGACGCACGCACACTCGCGCAATCCGCAAAGCCCCCCCAAAAAATCATCCGCTTCCCAAAAATTCCAGTGAGCCGTTCGTTCGTTCGGGGAGCACGCTGTGACCACGGCGATGCTCACCCGGCGGCCCACCGCCTCGCTGCCACCCGGCGACAACACAACCTAAGGGTGGAGGGGCCTGTGCGGGCGCCATCGTCGGGCGTTAGCAGGGGCAGATTAGGGGGACCGCAGCTGGCGCGCCCGGCAGTCATCTCAGTCGGTCAACACACGGGCACGTGGGGCCTCGTCCCCCCGTGACCCCGCCGTCGGCGAGCCCTTCGACGCTTCCACGCGACAGCCTCAAAGCGCGCCCCGGCCTGACACAGGGGCCGCGGTGACGTCACCGTCGCTTGGTGGCGGACGGCGTGGTGTTGCCGGGAGCATTCCCGCGCCGCTCGAGCCTGACCGCCTGACCGGGCCGTCCGTGGCCGTGCCCGCCACTCTCTCGCAGGAGATGACCTCATGAAGTGCGTGGACCTCTACAACCAGGCGCAGTCCAAGTGGTTCGAGGAGGTGGTCACCACCAGCTTGGTAAGGTGCCGCTAGACCGGCACCCCCCTCACCACCACCCCCCCCCCCCCCCCCCCCGCCATGAATGCCGTGCCAGTGCCGGGGTGGTTTTCCACCGGCGACTTTAGAATTTTTATTTATCCTGGATTTGAAAACTCACTTTCTTGACAACCGCCTGTTGTTGCGTTTAGTTTAGTGTCCTTCCACCCGGCATGTATGTTCAACTTCTTTCGCACCGCACATAGCCAACCGCACATAGCCAACCGCGCTAATCGGAGGTGGCGGGAGGGGGGGGGGGGCGGTGAAAGGACTTGCAAGACCAAGGACGACGACAACAACAACAACCAGTCCCGTAAAGAAAGGAGTTCTCAAATCAAGGTGACTTAACAGTGCTGCGTAGCTCCGCCGTTGGCTTCCCAAACATCGTCCGTGCCGCCCGCAGGAGCTGGAGCGGATGGAGAGCAGCAGGATCGAGATGGTGCAGGAGCACCTCTGCGTATATGCCCAGCTCCGCCACGAGACGGATATGTTCAACCAGAGCGTGAGTGCTCGCGCGAGCGAACGAGCGAACGAGCGAACGAGCGAGCGTGAATATCGACGGCGATCCTCAGGCTCGCGATGTCCGGCGTCGATGTCGCCGCCCGTCTTGTTCGAGAATCGCTGCGTTTTCAATTCGCGTATACGCAGTCGGTTCGACTTAAACTAAAACTAAACTTGGAAAAGTTAAAAAAAAAAAAATTTTACCAGGTAAGGCCCCGCTGAGCCAAGTAGCCCCCTTTTTTTTTTCAGAAGTGACCTGGCCATCACAAACGGTAGCTTAACGAAGTGGCCCATTGCGTGGAAAATGTGTAGCAGCCAAATGCTATCAAAACACTTGCAAGTTTAACACGTAGGCTTTCGCGACCAATATTATTCATAATAAAGGTTTTTGGGTTAGATCGCGTTATTTATAAATGTGTCGTAACCCTCCACCACCCGACACGGCCAATCAGCAAAAAAAAAGTGTCACGTTGACAAAAGACAAATAGTTCACTACTTTAGCCCACCGGTGTGTTGAAGAGTGAATCCACATTTACAGTTTGAGTACGACGTTTCGCTGGTAAATACATCCAGCATCATCGGGCAATTCGCCAGAATGGTAAAGCCCTCGCTTGCTCCCGGTTTTATATAGAGCAGCAGGGTGACGTCATCACTTAACTCATATCAGGTGCAGTGATTAGAGGCGGAGGGGGGGGGGGGTATTGTAATTATATAATCGATTAGTAATCAGTCATTGGTTATGATTAGTAATGAAATCACTTGCAAATTACTCACTTGCCATCGCACAGCAGCAGCAACAGCGCCCCCTCTGCTGTGAAAACTTGGCATGACCCTCCTGCAAAAATGGTTTTGAGACTCAGCGAGGTTTTCCTGGGTAAACAAGCGGGATCTTGAATAACAACAGCAATAATAATAACAATATCCATGACCACTGTTACCTCTGTGACAAAATGTCAACATTAACCCTTTAGAGCAGGGGTAGGGAACCTTTCTTCTGCCAAGGGCCGTTTGGATATTTATAACATCATTCGCGGGCCATACAAAATGATCAACTTAAAAATTAGCCCGTTATATTTGGTCAAACATTTAATTAAATCACCCCTCATGCGATGGCTGGAACTGCTTCTCTTTGGCGAGGCATGCGATGTTATCTGGTATTGGCGATGTCGCTAGTCGCAACTGCTTTTCCAGGTTTGCTCCCTAGATTTGTTGAATTTCGAGTCCCGCCTGCGGTTGCTTTGGCAGGGCCACACCAAATGATTTTGCGGGCCTTACACGGCCCGCGGGCCGAACGTTCCACACCCCTGCTTTAGAGACTGCCTGCGAGTTTGCAGAGTTTGTGTCCCGTTCGTCGCTTAATCTTGGAACGCGCAAGCGGCTCACCCTTATTTTTTATTTAGAGACGCGAAGCAGCAGCGCCGTTGTTTTTAAAGACGCTGTTACTCAACGCGGAGAACCGTAGCGACGCGACCGATCGATAGCCGGCGTCAAACTGTGCCACACGCCCTCCCGCAAGGCCTTGCGGGAGCCTCGGTGCCGACGAAGTTATTTGATTTTAGTTGTTTCTTCCGGTTCCGTTCCGATGACGTAGCGTTAATAATCGCAGGCAGCGGCTCAAACCTGGACTTGAACCCAGGATGTCGACGCTGCCGGCTGAGCGTCTCCGACCCTCTTGAGTGCGATCATCGCCACTGGACTCCCGCTACCGTGGCATCTCACCGCCCACACAGCTGCACATACGTCATCGGAACGGAATAAAAAACGATGATGATGATGATGATGCACACGTACGTCATCAGAACGGGAATGGGTTTATGAATCAGGATATATATATATTTTCTTCGGTTCTTTCGGTAAAGTCACGTAAGTATAAAATACAATTTTATTTTATTTTATAAAATAAAATAAAATTTATGAAATTAAATTAAATTAAATTGTATTTTTCTACCTACGTGACTTTACCGAAAGAACCAAAGAGTATGGATTCCTGCAGTCACGAAAGCTTCAAAGTCAAGATAGAGCTATGAATCTCTTTTTCACAGATGTCCAGTAGGGGCACGGGGGGTAAGAACGTGACAACAACGAAACAATACACAAACACGGAATGAGTGCAAAGTACAAGAAAGATAAACAAACCACCCAAATACATACAAACAAAACGAAACCATCCCCTTCCTAGCAGAGAGAGAGAGAGAGAGACGAAATCCAAATTCACCGTCGTTTTCCCTGCTCTCGTTGCCCAGACGATGGAACCCGTGGACCAGTCCCTGCAGAAGGTGGACCCCACGAAGGACCGCGAGCTCTGGATCAAGGAACACAAGACCGGTCACGTGCAGCCCGTCAACATGGAAGTCTGACGTCCCGCGCCTCCTTGTTCACCCAACGACGCCGTGCCCGGCGAGCCACGCTCAGTGGCCGCCGGTGCCCGGCGCGGGCGTGCCGATCGTCGGCGTCACGCCCCCCCCCCCCCCCCCGCCCCCACCTCCCTCGTTACGCTTTGACGGCGGCAAAGTGACTTTGTGCCGTTGTGAGCCGTCATGTTTTTTTTTCCCCTCCATCCCTCTTCTATTCGTCGCCTTTCTCCCGGGGCGGCATCGTCGCCTCGTCACACTCGCCATAGTTTTTGGCTCCTCGCGCAATTTTTTGGGCCGTCCGCGAATCGCGTCTGGAACTCCGCGCGGCTCCTCGCTGCTGCTGCTGCGTCGTCGTCGTCGTCGTCGTCGAGAGAGAGAGAGAGAGAAAGTGACGAGAGGTAAAGCGATGAGAGAGGTAAATGGATGAGAGAGAAAGCGATGAGAGGTAAAGTGACGAGATAAGGCGATGAGAGAGAAAGCTTCTTTGCGTATTCATTCAAGGTGCTTCATCGTAGGCCGACGTCATTACCCGCGAAGCGTGCTAGTCACGCGCATCTCCGGAACCTAGCCCGCATCTCAAATCCAAGGGAACTTACATTAACCCCCTCCCCCCCGCTTCACCCCCCCCCCCCCCCCCGGCCCCCCACCACCATTGCCTTTTGCCGGACGGAGTCGCGAAGCGGCTGGCGGGTGTGGAGGCGGTGCAATCGCTCCACCGCCACCGCCGCCACCAGCGCCGCTACCTGGGCCGGTGGGAGGGTGCAGGCACCACCTGGCGACGAGGAGAGGAGGGAGGGAGGGAGGGAGGGAGGGAGGGAGGGAGGGAGGGAGGGAGGGAGGGAGGGAGGGAGGGAGGGAGGGAGGGAGGGAGGGAGGGAGGGAGGGAGGGAGGGAGGATTGAACAGGGAGTGGGGCCCAAGTCATCCGTTGCCCATGCCGACCGACGGAGCTACGCGATTGGTTGGCTGAGTCGTGACCCTTGCCCAGGGGGGCGTGAGCAGGGGCACAGCGTGGCAGCTAGAGAGCACGGCCAGCAGCAACCGCAGCCGCGTTGAGCTCGCGGTTGCCACCCTTTGATGTACAAACAACCCCGGGGGGCATGTCGATACGGGGGAGAGTGTCTCACAAATACGGGGAGAGCGGGTCGGACTGCTTTAATGCATCGTGTTGAACGGATTTTTTGTATCACTTGTTATTGTGATGATTGTGATTATCGCGCAACTGGCAACAAAAAACTGATCCCTTATTAAATGTCCTGGGAGAGACTCGCATATTTCCCCGGACAGCAGCTGCCCTGAGTGGGGCGGACGATCCTGCCGAAAACCAGGACTGGTGGCAACCCCCTCGTGCCGGTACCGTGCCACGGTTGCTCGGAGGAGCCAAGGGTGTTTGCCAGTTGCCCATAACAGAGGTTCTGTGGGTTAGATCGTGGTAAATATAAATGTGTCGTTACGCCCGCCGCCTACCAACACGCAGCCGATTGGTAAGGGTTTGTCGCGTGAACAAAACGTGCCAATTCGTTACGAGTTCAGCGTACACCGGTTGTGTGTTGGAGAGTAAACCCACCGCAAAGTTTACAATTCGAGTACCGTGAGGTTTCGCCAGTAACTACAACAACAACCAGCAGCAGCATCATCAGGTGACAGCCACACAGAGCTGTGGAGAAAATCCTCCTGCTGTTTCGGTCTTAAATAGACGGGGGCGGGGGTGGGGGATAAATGTGACGTCGTCACTTGTGAGCCAATCAGGTGCGACGGCCAGAAGGGTGGGGGCGGGGGGGGGGGATTAATGTACGCATATTCTCTTATGGATAATATTGGTCGCGAAATACCTACTCGGTGTTCATTTGCTAAATACTTTCGGGGCGCTACGGTTGAATGTCCTATCCGGGGCTGCCACCCCCGCAATAGATCTTCTATCGAATGTCTATCGTTTTGGCGAAATTTTTTTTTTAATCGGCAGGCCTATCGATCAGACGACCTCGCCCGACCTCACCCCATCACTTGCCCGATCTCGGAAGCTGAGCAGGGAAGAGCCTGGCTAGTGCTCATGTGGGTGAGCTCCGGCGTTTGCCGGGTGCCATGGGTACGGGGCTGCGAGCCTGTCTCCTCAGCGTGGAGGGTTTTCACCGAGTTCTAAACTACTATTTAAACGAAACCGATTTATTTTCTGTTTTACCAGGTAAGGCACGTCGAGCTGTACAGCTCTTTTTCAGAAGCGACCTGGCCGCAATTGATTACTGAACACAGCGGCTTATCACTGTGTAGAAATTGATAGCAGCTAAATAATCTAAATGTGGAGGGAAAAACTGGAGGACCCGGAGAAAAATCCACGCGACCACGGAGAGAGAGAGAGACACGCAAACTCCAAATGTACGGACGTCTGAGTTGGGATCAAACCCACGGCCTTCTGCATACTAGGCGAGGGAGATAACATCTCGGCAGATTAGTACAGTTTTACACACTCCTTTGTCCTAAGCTTAGCCTTAGCATAATAATTTTCATACACTTTGCATCTCAAATGATCGACTCCTGCGTACACGATCCTCTGCACGCACCGTGAGCATAGGAACCAATTTTAATCGTTGCATGCCGAGCAGTAGGCTCAACCTTACATCGTGTCTTAACCAGCCACGGCAGGGTCTTTGTGTGGGTGTATGGGTCTCTGTGTGAGTGTATGGGTCTCTGTGTTGAGTCTACGGGTCTGTGTGAGTCTATGGGTATCTAAGTCTATGGGTCTCTTAGTCTATGGCTCTCTTTATGAGTCTATGGCTCTCTTTATGAGTCTATGGGTTTCTGATTCTATGGGTATCTGTACGAGTCTTTGGATCGGTGCGTCTTACTTTCCGGAACGTCTTATAATCTTGAGAAGAGAGGTGGCACTCTCAGCTGTTGAGGGCGGTAGTGGCAGTGCAGTGGTTCGCGCATTGTGCCACGGACTAGCCGACCCGAGTTCAATTCCTGGACTTGGCTAACGTTGGCGGACAGCGATGACAGAACTTGTCCTGGCCTCTTCGTTCACCAAACTCGCGTTGACCGGCGCGGTGAAGAACGATCAAACAAACCACAACCCCCCACCCCCCGACGGGCACGGCGGTGTCGGGAGGCCTTCATCCGGCGGCGCGATTGCCAAAAGGGCTGTGAATTTGTCGCTTAGGGTGACCAGGGTGGGCGTGACGGTTTGGCGCGCAACCCATCGTCGTCGAATCGCTGACTTTTAAAAATGTGCAGGGGGGGGAGCTCACGCTGCATCTCTCGACGCTTTCATCGGCGGGAATTTTTCTCTCCGAGCAGCAGAGCGAGCGCCGATGCCTCATAAAGAGATTAGAAGACTTTGACATTCCAGTTTGTGCGTGCGCGCGCGAGCGTGTATATGGGCGCGCGTGTGTATGGGCACGCGTGTGTGTATGGGCACGCATGTGTGTGTGTGGGTGAGTGGGGAGCAGTAGTGCAGCGGTTAGCGCGCTCCGCTACGAATCCGGCAACCCGAGTTCGATTCCCGCTCGCGGCCAACACCGGTGACGGTTGTCTGAACCGGTCCCCAGCCTCCCGTAGGTCGACTCGGCGTCAAATGAAATACCCGGTGCGGTGTGTAAAAACATCGCCACTGGGGGAGACAAAGGCGGCCGGGCGTGGTGTTCGCCACCCAACACTCTCGTTCCGGCCTTTACAGGTGCTCGCTAACGGCACTTGCCCCAACAGTCTGCTGGGCCTATACGGGGGTTCTTTGTCTTTGTGTGTGTGTGTGTGTGCGCGCAAGCGGACCAAACGATGTAATCATCAAGACAGGGTCACACGACCGAGGTGCACGGGCGGGAGCCTCGACCGTCCGGCACGTTGCCGTTTGTACGCACCGAAAGACGTGCGCCGAACTTCTTTCGCCAAGCGCTCGTAGCCGGCCGCGTTGCTAACCGATCGTGCGGAGCGGCAACGCCAATGCGCCAATCCTGCCTGGCGGCGGCGGCGCGGTCGGGGCACTGCCGGGGGTGCCCGAGAAGGGGAGGCCACGGGCGCTGCCAAACGTCGTGGCCGTCGGTGGGCACGAGAACGGCGAACGATATTTTGTTTTTCATTTCTCTCTTCTTCAGTATGAGCCCGGTACAGAGCACAAACCGAGATGTAGGGGCGGGCGGGCGAGGGGGTGGGGGGTTGGGGGGTCCAGGAATGGGGGGGGGGGGCACAGAACCTCCGAGAGGCTGCGCTGCTGAGTTTAGAGGAGGAGGGGGAGGGGGTGGAGGGAGATTTGGGCGAACGTATATGTTCGACGTGCATGTAACGGCGAACGACGTCGGTCACTCTGCAAATTGGATTCGGTCATCGCCCCCCCCCCCCCCTGCTGGCTGAGCGTGGGCGCGAATTGTCCGACGATCGGGGTGAGAATATTGCCGTGAATATATCAACATGTGTATAGTACACTCTCGACGTCCTTTCATGGGGCGTGGCTCCAGAGCACAGCGAGTCCGTGGGCAGGTCGCCCGCGGTGGGATACCGGCACCTTCCTCCAGGGCGTCTGGCCGGCGTGCGGAAGAGTAGGCCAAACACCCTCTGGCACCTCTTGAGATCTGGGTTCGAATTCAGGTTTCAGCCACCCATGGTCAAAGCACTGTCCCGAAGTGTCGTTTGAATGTTAGCTGCGATCGGCAGGGTGAAGTGCGGGGAACTGCCGGCGTGTGGAAGAGTAGGCCAAAATCCCGCGGGTTGGAGGGGGTTGCTCCCGAGCTCCCTCTCGCTGAGGCCCTTCGGCGAGCGGTGGAAGGAGCGGGGCAGTTGCGGGGCTGCGCCTTTAGCTTTTACTCTGAAGCACAGGTGTTGCTGCTCCGCCGTTGGTGACTGCGGTTTTACCTGCCGTGCAAACGCAACGACAGCGTCACGGGGTGAGACACGATCGCAAAAGAAAGTCACGCATATAAATTATTCAAACCTGTCAACTTTTTTTTTTACTTTGCCAGGTAAGGCCCCACTGAGCTGCCCTGCATCTCTTTTCCAGAAGCGACCTGGCCAGCGCAAATGATCGATCAACGAAGTGGCTTATCATCATCATCACGTGTAAATTCATCGCAAGCCCAATACCCTAAACGCGTGATGATGTCGATGATACATGTGGAGGGGTAAATGCCGGAGGACCCGGAGACAAATCCACGCGACCACGGGGAAAGAGAGAGAGAGACACGCAAACTCGAAATATACAGCAGGCGTTAGGGCCAGGATCGAACCGACAATCTCCCGCACACCAGGCGAGGTAGCTAACATCTCCTAGCCACCGTGGCGATTTAACGTAGACCAGAGTGGCTCAAGAGGAGCCCAGAGAGCGCCCTGGCAGAGCTGCCGAGGTGGATCCCTTCCACGTTTTACCAATTTCCTCATCCTGGGAGTGCTTGACGACCGCCGCGGGGGGTGGAGGCACGCGGCCTGACCAGTCCGGAGCGAGAGACTGTGCGCGTTTTGCATAAACGTGGCGGCGTCTGCCGTCATGAACATTGGGAGTTGTTCTATCGCGATTAAATGTTATGATTAATATCGTTGTTATGATTATGCTGTCACGATCAGTGGCTGTTGTCGTAATGGTAAGGCCGCTGCGTGCGTGCGTTTTCGCCGTTGCCCTGCGCGCTTCCCTCCGACGCGACTTCGGGTCGTACCGCGCCCTTTGTTCGGGCGACGATGTCAGACGTTTCGCTCCCACGCTGCCCGGGGGGGAGGGAGGTGGGGGGGGGGGGCCCTCTTTGGTTTCTGAACGCGGCGCCGGTACAATCCCCGGAGACGCATCGTGGAGCGTCGTCGTCGCTACAGTTGT